CCTCGGCCTCCCAAGAAAGCCATGGACTACTCATCATCCAGCGAGGAGGTGGAGAGCAGTGAGGAGGATGAGGAGGAGGGCGAAGGCGAGCCATCAGAGGGGAGCAGAGACACCCCTGGGGGCCGGTATGGCATCAGGGGTGGGGCCCTCCTGCTCCAAGCCACAGGGAGGGCAGGAAGTGGTTTGGGGAGAGGTGGGGCTTTGGGGCACGTCTGAGGGAGAGTGGCTCCCTTCTCTAGAGAGTGGGCTGAGGGTGCAGGTTCCTTCTCTCTCCCACTGTCATGTGGGTTGTGGGGTGGCCTCTTCAGGTGCCTATCTGCCCCTGTGCTAGCCTGCCCTGCGTGCCCTGCAGGGAAGCACCTCACAGTGGAGCAGGCTGTTTTGAATAGAGAAAAAGCCTGGGCTCTGGCTGCCATCTGCTGCCTTTGGCACTTCCATGGTGAGCAGGACCTAAAGGAACCCCACCTTCTTTTCTCACAGCAGCGATGGGGATACAGACAGCATCAGCACCATGGTGGTCCACGATGTTGAGGAGATCACCGGGACCCAGCCCCCGTATGGGGGCGGCACCATGGTGGTCCAGCGTGTGAGTGAGCCTCTGCTCCCCTGCCCTGTACCTGTATGTCATCCTCAGCCCCGTGCCGACCCTGCTTTCTGTTCTGTAGACCCCTGAAGAGGAGCGGAGCCTGCTGCATGCTGACAGCAACGGGTACACAAACCTGCCTGATGTGGTCCAGCCCAGCCACTCCCCCACCGAGAACAGCAAAGGCCAAAGCCCGCCCTCAAAGGATGGGAGCAGTGACGTAAGTGGGCCTGAGGCAGGTCCGTCGGAGAGAAGACCCCTGGTGGTGGGCAGGAGATCCGGGTCTGGGGGAGGATGGGGTGGAGCACTGGGAACTGGCCAGCGGGGGTGCCAGTTGGGGAGCTGGGGCCTGGGAAGAGCAGTGGGTGCAGGGCCGAAGCTGGACTTGCACTTGTTTGTCTGACTACTTCCCCCGCAACCACAGTACCAGTCTCGTGGGCTGGTAAAGGCCCCTGGCAAGAGCTCATTCACGATGTTTGTGGATCTTGGGATCTACCAGCCTGGAGGCAGTGGGGACACCATCCCCGTCACAGGTGAGGATGGGGTCCAGGGGCAACCTGGGGGGAGCAGAGGTGGTCTTGAGACGCAGCCTCATAAAGCATAGGCACAGGACCTCTCCCTTGAGTCCTAGCTCCTGCCCAGGCACAGAGGTAAGGAAAGGCTTTTGTGACGCCTCCACAGGAGAGGAAATGCCTAAAATAGCCAAGGGACCTGGGCAAAGGCACAAAGCTAATGAGGGATAGAACTGGGACCTGAGACAGGGCTTTTGACTCCAAGGCCTGTGCTCTATCCCCCTCCTATGCAACTCCCCATCCTCCCATCTCTCTCCTTTCTGCATATTATGAGGTGCCAAGACCTGATAGAGGGGATAGAGGGAAAAAGAGCTGGGGTGAGAAGCTGCAGCTCCTCCTTCCGCCTCCTCCTTCTGGCAGCCCTAGTGGGTGGAGAGGGCACTCGGCTCGACCAGCTGCAGTACGACGTGAGGAAGGGTTCTGTGGTCAACGTGAATCCCACCAACACCCGGGCCCACAGTGAAACCCCTGAGATCCGGAAGTACAAGAAGCGATTCAACTCCGAGATTCTCTGTGCAGCCCTTTGGGGTAAGCCAGGCCAAGGGTAGCTAAAAGGGGTCTGGCGTGGCTTCCATGCTCCTGGTTAAATGAGGGCCTGGCTGAGCCTCTGACCTACCAAGGGCTCCTATTGCAGGGGTCAACCTGCTGGTGGGCACGGAGAATGGGCTGATGTTGCTGGACCGAAGCGGACAGGGCAAGGTGTATGGACTCATTGGGCGGCGACGCTTCCAGCAAATGGATGTGCTGGAGGGGCTCAACCTGCTCATCACCATCTCAGGTACAGGGCTGGCCAGTGGGGGAGGGAGGAGGGACTCAGCTCCTTGGCGCTGTCACCACCTTCTGCCTGGGAGGAGGGCAGCCTTGGTCCAGGTGCTGGAAGGTGGGGCCACACTTTCTCACCCCTTGTGGTATGCAGACAGGAGGGTGGGGCGGTGGCAGCCGGGCCTCAGCTAAGAATGGGGATGTGTGTATGTCCGTCCTTCCCTCAGGGAAAAGGAACAAACTGCGGGTGTATTACCTGTCCTGGCTCCGGAACAAGATTCTGCACAACGACCCAGAAGTGGAGAAGAAGCAGGGCTGGACCACTGTTGGGGACATGGAGGGCTGCGGCCACTACCGTGTTGGTGAGGATGCCACAACAGTGTGGCCAGTGAACCCTTGTCATGAAGATAGAGAAATGGGCCTGGGTCAAATGGCTGAGAAAACCTGACAGCCAGGGACTTGGGGCCTGGGTGGGGCAGTCTAGTGACAGACACAGGGAGGTGCCCCAGGTCCAAGAAGGGAAGTCTCAGCATCTTTTTCTCCTGCCCCCAGTGAAATATGAGCGGATTAAGTTCTTGGTCATCGCCCTCAAGAGCTCCGTGGAGGTGTATGCCTGGGCCCCGAAACCCTACCACAAATTCATGGCCTTCAAGGTAATCCCAGCCTCAGCCCCCAACCCCATTCCCAGTCCCAGTGCCTCTCCCTCTGCCCCTGAGCCCTCCTTTCCTCCGATTGCCCACAGTCCTTTGCCGACCTCCCTCACCGCCCTCTGCTGGTCGACCTGACAGTGGAGGAGGGGCAGCGGCTCAAGGTCATCTATGGCTCCAGTGCTGGCTTCCATGCCGTGGATGTCGACTCGGGGAACAGCTATGACATCTACATCCCTGTGCATGTGAGCCTGGCGGGGCTGCTAGGGAGTGGGATGGCCTAGTCTGGGCGCCAGCCGTGAGACTCGAGCCCACCTCCTCCTCCCCAGATCCAGAGCCAGATCACGCCCCATGCCATCATCTTCCTCCCCAACACCGACGGCATGGAGATGCTGCTGTGCTATGAGGACGAGGGTGTCTACGTCAACACGTACGGGCGGATCATCAAGGATGTGGTGCTGCAGTGGGGAGAGATGCCCACCTCTGTGGGTGAGTGAGCCCTGCCCCCAAGCTACATGTCCCTGGGGTGGTCCCTGCTCAACCCCTCACTTGTGTTCCCCACAGCCTACATCTGCTCCAACCAGATAATGGGCTGGGGTGAGAAAGCCATTGAGATCCGCTCTGTGGAGACAGGACACCTGGACGGGGTCTTCATGCACAAACGAGCCCAGAGGCTCAAGTTCCTGTGTGAGCGGAATGACAAGGTGAGAGGCCCTTTCCCTCTGAAAGCCCTTGGGCTCCTGGGCAGAGTTCTGGGGGAGAGGATGGTGGTGGTATCTTCCTGCAAGCAGACCTCTCTGGGAGCTTGGAGGAGAGCAATCACTCCCTCCCACAGCCCTGCGCTCTTTGCAGCTCCTGAGGACTTTACAGCTAGCGCCCAGGGGGTGGGTAGTGCATCCTGTCCCATAACATCTGGCCTGTTCCTCCAGGAGAGGGCACTCTTATCCTGCAGCCCCTCTCCCTCACCTCTTCTGCCCCCGCTTCTTCCCCTCTCCCAGTTGACACTTGGTCACTTCTCCTCCTGCCCCCGCCAGGTGTTTTTTGCCTCAGTCCGCTCTGGGGGCAGCAGCCAAGTTTACTTCATGACTCTGAACCGTAACTGCATCATGAACTGGTGACGGGGCCCTAGGCTGGGGCTGCCTGACACTGGACCCAGCTCCCCCTGCAGCCAGGCTTCCTGGGCCGCTCCTCTTTCCTCTCCCTGGGCTTTTGCTTTTACTGGTTTGATTCACTGGAGCCTGCTGGGAACGTGACCTCTGATCCCTGATGCTTTGTGATCAAGTGACCATCCTCTTCCCCAACATGTCCTCTTCCCAGAACTGTGCCTGCCCCCATCTTCTGGGGAGGGACACAGCTACCCCTTACCAGGAATTGAGTGGGCCTGGCCCCTCCCTCCTTTTCTCCATTTAAGAGGAGAGTGCTTGGGGGTTGAACCCCTTACCCCACTGCTGCTGACTGGGCAGGGCCCTGGACCCCTTTATTTGCACGTCAGGGGAGCCGGCTCCCCCCTTGAATGTACCAGACCCTGGGGGGGGTCACTGGGCCCTAGATTTTTGGGGGGTCACCAGCCACTTTAGGGGCAGGGACCATTTCTTCATTTTCTGAAAGCACTTTAATGATTCCACTCCCCCCCACCGACTCCAGGGAATGGAGGGGGGACCCCGCCAGCCAAAACATTCCCCCCTCCTAACCCTCATCTCTTCTAGCCCATGCCCTTCCCTGGTGGGAGGGAGGGAGCAGGGAGCCCTCACTCTCCATGCCCCTTGCTTGCATCTGTATATAGTGTGAGCAGCAAGTAACCCTCCTCCTCCCTCCCCCAACCCCTCCTCAATGTAGTGGCCTTGGATATCCTGTTTGTTAATAAAGACAATTCAACCAGCTCCCACCATTCAGGCCCCATTTTTGCTTTCTCTCACCATCCTGGATACTAGGCAGAGAGCGCCTCCAGGGTGGGGAAGAAAGGGACAGGGTGGGCCGAGATCTGCCATTAGTCTCAAGGGGATAGCATGAGCAGTGCTGGGCCTAGAAAATCTAGAAAAGAAATGACTTCGGGAGGGCCAGGGCAGCCTCAGCGCTAAACATGTGAGCCTGAGGGCCACCAGCACTGTGGGTGTTTGGTTCCCACGAGCTCCAGCAGAGCTAAGCTGGGCCAGGGAAGGAGAGGGTAACCCTGCTCCAGCCTCCCTGTGTGCAAGTCCTACAAAGGGGTCTCCTGTTTGGCTGAGCTGAACAAAGATAGCTCAAAAGCTGGCAGGCTCCAGCGTCTGTGGGGCTGCCCCTCAGAAAGGCTGGGAGGTCAGCAAGGCTGAATGAAGGGCAGTCCTTGCTTTCTGGAAGACTGAAACCGGAGAGCCTGCATGAACAGTTATTCTCTCCTGCCGACCCCTGGACTGGGGCCAGATCTATACATGCCAAGGAATGGGCACACAGCAGCAGTGGGAAGGGATCATAATGCTGTGATTTTGAAATTGATTTTTTCAAAATCCATTTCCTGCTAGAGTTGGGTGGGAAGTTGAAATCAGTGTACACTAAGGCTGAATACACGGCGGGTAGGGGAGATCAGGCACTTGGTTGAAGTAGGCTCCGAGGAAGATGAGGCTGGAGCCCACGCTGAAGAGCACCAGAGCAGCCCAGAAGCAGATGTTGTCAAGGGCATTCCCCATGCGCATCCAGTCGGACACTTCCTGGGGAAGGGTCAGCACAGTAAAGAGGGAGCTGGAGCCAGGGGCACGGGAGATCTGCTGCGTACTACCGGTCTCTGGCTCCCGTCCCACCTCGCCGGTGGCCTCTTGGTCTCTCGTGCTCTCAGCCACGAAGTTCACGGCATCCACACAGCAGCGGACCTCGGGGGCGGCGGCGCCCAGGCTCTGGCAGAAGGCAGCTGGCAGGGAAGACACCAGTGTGGGCCGTTAGGAGCCTCCTCTACGGCAGGCGGCCCGCCGGGCCACTGTGCTTACCTGTCCAGGTCCCGTGCCGGTGCCTCTGTCCCTCAAACACAAGCTCGCTCCGCGGTTTTTTCAGTATCAACTCCTCCGCGCGGAGCAATAAGCGAACCGACGATGCCCGCCTTGGGGGCGAGGCAGCCCGGGGGGGCTCGGAGGGCGGCGGCGGGGACCCCAGCAGGTGCGGCAGCAGCTCCAGTAGAACCTGGGGGGGGTGATTAGGGGACAGGACTAGGGCTAAGCCCGCCACCACCCAGGGCACACCCCACCCCCACGCTTACGTGGCGCAGACGCATGGACATGGCGTGTGTAGTGGGCGTCCTCAGGGACACGTTGAGCACGATGACGCAATTCATGACAATGAGTGTGGCAACAACCATGACGAAAATAAGGAACCTGAGGAGACCGGAATGAGTGATGTCACCGCTCCCCCTCCCAGCTACGGAAGGCGCCGCGCTCCCTCTGACCTCACAAACACGACTTCTTCCACCACGGGGTGGTTACGCCCTCGAGTTGCGCTCCCTCAGCAACTACAGACGCGTCGCCCAGCCCTTCTCCCTACCACCTGTGGTGGCCATGAGGAGGACCCCCAGCTCCCTGGACACCTTCATGTGGGTCTACCACTTCCACAGCTCCACCGAGGTAAGGCTATGCTTACCAAGGGCGGCACCTCGAGACCCAATGGGTAGTTCTCCCGTGCGCCCCCGTGACCCCTGCCCTGCGACTCCACTACCCTGCTCCTCCTCCAGGTGGCCCTCCAGCCCCGCTTCTGTCTTCCCTGGAACTCTCCGTGGCCGCAGCCCATGAGTATCTGGAACAGAGGTTCAGAGTGCTCAAGTCCCTGGAGCCACGGGAGCCAAAGGTGCAGGAGATGTCACTGACCCGAAGCCCACCCTGGGGCTGGTGTTAAGAGAAGCCGCGGCCAGCCTCGTCAGCTTCGGCACCACCTTGTTAGAGTGGGGTCTGGGGTGCTGAGGATACGCAGCGATCCGGCAGCCGCAGCAAGGACCTCTGCCTTCCCGCTAACCCCTGGGCCCCAGGTACAGATCTCAGCCCTATGGCTGCAGCAGGAGGCGAGGAGACTAGAAGGGGGCGACAGCAGTGCGGGCCTAGCCCTAGACGTCGGGGATCCGAGTGCAGCGCTGGCCCAAGTAGCCCAGGCCGCTGGGCATGGGGCTCAGCAAGCTGGGGCTGCAGTGGGCGCCGGCACACGGCTCCTCGTCCAGGGAACATGGCTATGCCTATGTGGACGGGGTCTGGAGGGGTCTGCCTCATTCCTGCGACAGTGGCAACAGCAGCAGGGCCTCGGAATCCCCAGAGAACTGGTGAGCTCGGGATGCCAGATGAGTTGGGGCCAGAGGCGGCGGGGCTGGGAAGGCACTGAGCCGGACCATCTCCCTACAGAGATACTCAGGAGACCTCCAGGTGATGTCCAGCAGCAGTGCGGAGGACGGCGGACCAGAGAATCCATCCCACTCCCAGCCCCATCCCGCATCCAAATAAAGCTCAGGACGGGGCGAGACAGAGCTTCTCTCAGGGTCTCAGGGTTTTGCCACGCCCCACCCAGCCGGCCCTGGGCCCCACCCTTCAAACTGGCCACACCCCTGCGAGGGCCACCACCCGGACGCGCTCAGCCCTCACCTGCCCAGCAGCGGCACGCTCAAAGAAGTCTCGGGGATTTTCTGGGCAATGAGGAACAAGAAGACGGTCTGGGCTAGCAGGACGTTGATGGAAACCGTGCATTTCTGGCCGCCGGCTGGAGGGATCGCTGGTGAGAGCGGGCCCCGCCTCTGGGAGCTAGCCCGGATTTGGGTGTGGGTTCGGGGCTACTGCTTACCCTGCGCAGGCAGGAAGTAGGCGAGCAGCACCAGGCCTGAGATGAGCACGCAGGGCACGATGATGTTAATGACGTAGAAGAGCGGCTTCCGTCGGATGATAAGCGAGTAGATGACGTCAGTCTCCCCTGGGCCGTCGGTGGCACCAACGTCGTGGCGGCGGATCACCCCCGGGCAGAAGTCGATGGCCCACTCGCCGTTCTCTGTGGGACGGGGGTGCGGTTAGCCGGAGCGGGGCGCCCGCCAAGCCGACAGTGGGCCGAGGAGGCGGCTGCGGCTGTCTGCACCAGGGTCATGGGCCATCAGGATGGGGGCAATTCGGGCGGAAAGGGGCATTGTCGGTGAGGGTATAGAAAGTGAGAAGGCAGGACTGGAATAACAGTGGAGAATGATTTCAGAGGCCGGGCCCGGTGTTTCACGCCTGTAATCCCAGCACTTTGGGAAGCTGAGGTGGGTGGATAACCTGAGGTCAGGAGTTCGAACCCCATCTCTATTAAAAATACAAAAATTAGCTGGGCATGGTGGCATGCAGCTATAATCTCAGCTATTTAGGAGGCTGAGGTTGGGGAGTCGCTTGAACCTGGGAAGCATAGGTTTCAGTGAGCTGAGATCATGCCGCTACATTCCAGCCCGGGCGACAAGAGCGAAACTAGTCTTTAAAAATAAATAAATAGGGCCGGGTGCGGTGGCTCACGCCTATAATCCCAGCACTTTGGGAAGCCGAGGCGGGTGGATCACAAGGTCAAGAAATCGAGACTATCCTGGTCAACAAGGTGAAACCCCGTCTCTACTAAAAATACAAAAATTAGCTGGGCATGGTGGTGCGCGCCTGTAGTCCCAGCTACTCAGGAGGCTGAGGCAGGAGAACTGCTTGAACCCAGGAGACAGAAGTTGCAGTGAGCCGAGATCACGCCACTGCACTCCAGCCTGGGTAACAGTGAAACTCCGTCTCAAAAATAAATAAATAAAAATGATTTCAGGACAGGGGCAAGCTAAACCCGGTTGCGGAAGCCATCCTCCAGTGTTGTTGGTCAGGGCAACCCCACTCTGGAAGTCCCCTCTCTGGACCCTGTCTAGAAGCAGGTTTTTCTGAACAGGCCGGGGATTCACCAGTATAGGCCTCAGTGTCGATGTCGATCTTGTTGATGGTCTCACCATCGTCGTCTACGGCAAAGGTTAACTCCACCTCTTTGGCATTGTACGTCTGGGAGCTATGGAGCCAGGACCGGTCGCCCACCCCACAAGCTCTGACCTGGGCCCTGGCCCCAGGCCCAGCCTTGGAAGCTGGGATCTTGCGGGGTCACGAGGCTTCACCCCTTCACCCAGGACCAGCCCGCATACCCCTATTCCCACCTGGACCTCGGGCCTCACTGGAGCATCCCTCCCACTGCTGACTGGCTCCACCTCCAGCATGAGGCCCCGCCCCAAGGGCGGTGCTTCCCAGCTGGCCCCGCCCCCAGGTCCCTCCCATATCGTCGGAGCCTTGGAGTAACTCTTCCCACCGGAAAATGAGCGAGCAGTTCTGCCAGTCGAAGGGGAAGTAGGTGACCTCCACGGCGCAGACGCTGCGGTAGATGGCCGGAGGCAACCACGTCACGGAGCCGCCCTCGTAGATCAACACATTGGCGTCGTAGGCCACGCCGAACTGGCCGTCAATACTGTGGGCTCGGCGAAACCGAGCTTTTTGCACAGATCCGCATCCCCTCGGAGTATCCCTTTCCCCAGCCAAGTCCAGCCCGCACCTCAGGCCGGCTTCCCTCCAGCCTGGCATCCGGCCCGCTCCTCACTTGTTCTCCAGCACAATCTCTGGCAGCCATACGAGTTCTGAAGGGACTCTCAGGGTTTCTATGCCCCCAAAGTCATCCTTGCTGTAGTTGAGTCGGTAATCCTGCCAATCCTAAGGAGTGGGGTACGGAAGGACGTGTTCCCTGAATCTCCCAGCTGGCGCTGCCTGGAGGAGATCAGAAGAAAAGGGGTCCCCTGGACAAGACCTCACACTCCCCCCCCCTCCCCGGATTTGACTCACGATTCCAATCCAGACACTGGTGGTGAGAGTCTCCTCTTTTTCATTCTGCAGATGGGAGATGGGGATGATTGAAGTGAGATTTCAGGGCCAGATGTGAGCTTTAGGACAGCTCAGCGGCTGGGGCCAGAAGGGGAACCTTAGGCTTGAAGTGAGGGTGGGGATATCTTACCAGCGAGATGAGATTCGTCAGGGTGACCTTGAGGCTGATGGTGACAGTATCCTCAGGCCCCCGTGCTGGCCGGCTTCCTGGGTCATAGTTGTCGAAGAGATGGTGATAAAGACGCAGTTCCTCATTCTTCCCCACACCGCTGCCTGTGATGGGGTCAAGAAGAAAAGGTCATTGGCAATGAAGAGGCTGGAGCACCTCTCCTCTCTGCCTCCTCTGGGTTCTCACAGGCTTCTGCAGCTGTGCATTCTTGGTATCTGTCTCCTAAACCAATTAATTATACTGTGCCTGGGGACCAAATAGTGTGTCTCAGTCTCCATCTTGGTCTCTGTCTTTGCCTTCCCAGTCCCTTTATGACGGTATCTGTATATGTCCAATTGCCTCCCCCCAGCCACAGTCCATACCGAGGAGCCCCAAGAGGAGCAGGACCCCAAGCAGAGGCCCTGCCATCCTGCTGCCTGGTTCTCAGGGTTATTCTGAGCTCTGGCAGGCTTGGAGGAGGCAGGCCAGGGTGCCTGTGTGAGGGGGAGGAGGGTGTTAGTTCCGGGCTGTATTAGGGGACTGTTACCTAATCCTCTACTCACCCCTGCTACAGCTGGGGACATTTTGGCTGCTTCCAGAGGCAGCTGCCCCATCCTGTAATTCCTGCCCCCGCACCCCCCCCAACCCCCAGGCCACCAACAGCCGGTCCAGGCCCAGCCAAGCACCCTTTGCCTGGTCTTTGGCCAGCTCCCCAGCTGCAGAAGTAAGCCTCTCCTGAGAGGTACCTACAACCACAACCGAGGGACACTGCTTTCAACAGGCATTGGTGTCCTTTAAGTAAGCTGCCCTGTGTAGGTGACCCTGCCTAATGAACACATCTGGGGATGTGACACACCCCTTGCCTCCCATTCTCACCTACGTGGAACACACACTATTGCCACCCACAGCCGGGCCAAGCTCACACTAATGCCTTTCCCGCTGACAGAGTGGCAAAAACCAGTCTCCATAAAAACCTGATAGACAGGTGGTCACAGGGGATTAGCCCTGCGGTAACAGAGATTCCACCTGGCAAAGGAGATCATGTGGTAATACAGGGCCCACCTCCTTCCACAACCTGATCACCAGGTTTGCCCATCCCAGCTCCTCTGGACGTGAGCACCAGCCCCACTTGTTTCTCCTTGTCTCTCCCTCCTGCCACCTTGTGGTCAGAGATGATAGTACAGTCTTCCCCATCCTACTCCCCTAAACACACACACACCTTCCTGATGACACCTTAACTGATCCTTTCAATGTTCCTTTTATGGGGGTGGGGGGAAACAGGATCTCACTGTCACCCAGACTGGAGTGCAGTGGCACCATCATAGCTCACTGCAGCCTCTCGAACTCCTGGGCTAGAGCGATCCTCCTGCCTCAGCTTCCCAAATGGTTAGGATTACAGGCATTAGCCACTGCACCTGGCCTCAGTGTTTTGTTTTGTTTTGTTTTGTTTTGTTTTGTTTTGTTTTGTTTTGTTTTGTTTTTGAGAGGGTGTCTCGCACTGTTGCCCAGGCTGGAATGCAATAGCGCAATCTCAGCTCACTGCAACCTCAGCCTCCTAGGTTCAAGAGATTCTTCTGCCTCAGCCTCCCGAGTTGCTGGAATGACAGGCGCCTGCCACCACGCCCAGCCAGTTTTTTGTATTTTTTGGTAGAGACAGGGTTTCACTATGTTGGTCAGGCTGGTCTCCAACTCCCGACCAAATGATCGGCCTGCCTTGGCCTCCAAAGTGCTGGGATTACAAGCATAAGCCACCTCGCCCGGCCTCAGTTTCTTAAAGTCACCTTCTTGAACCATTCTAATCCCCTGGAGGAGTGCTTGTTTTAAATGCAGATTCCTAGGCTGGCTCCATTCCCAGAGAATTCTGATTTCAGGAATAGGGTGCTAGGAATCTGTATTTTTAGAAAATTTTAAGAAAACTAACCAGGTGTTCCTCATGGAACACCTGGCCTAAGCACATTTTCTGCCATACACCTCACTTCCTCACAGCAGTCCAGCAGTGATCACTGTCCTGAATACATGAAAGAGGACTCTTAAGGTCAAGGTCCAGGGTCACACAAGGAGACTAGCAATAACGCATGAGATGTATCAATCAACTCTACTGACCACGTACACCTGTGTTTATTTTATACTTCACAAAACACTTTCACTTTTGGGTCTCCTATTCCCACCTATGAGGTATGTCATAATCAGCTCCATGTTACCAGCAAGGACACACCAAAGACTAGAGTGTCCATGGGACTCCTTGTCCATTTCCCACACATGTGTGAAGCCTCTGTTTCCACTGCTGCCTTATCACCCCAGATTTTCCTTCCAGACTCCCTTTCTGGGTTTCTTTGACCCAGCTCACCTCTTTGCATGTGGCTGGTACATGGACTAGCTTTTTTTTTTTTTTTCTTCCCTGAGAATGAGTCTCATTCTGTTGCCCAGGCTGGAGTGCAGAGGCACAATCCCAGCTCACTGCAACCTCCACCTCCCAGGTTCAAGTGATTCTCCTGCCTCAGCCTCTCAAGTAGCTAGGACTACAGGTGCCTGCCACCATGCCCACCTAATTTTTTTAATTTTTAGTAGAGGCAGGATTTTGCCATGTTAACCAGGATGGTCTCAATGTCCTGACCTCGTGATCCGCCCACCTTAACCTCCCAAAGTGCTGGGATTACAGGCTTGAGCCACCGTGCCCGGCCACATGGACTAACTCTCAAATCTGTGCTGCTGCTTATTCCAGAGCCACTGGGTCAGGGCTTGGGACAAGAGTTGTGACAAACACCAATATTCAAACATTAATGGACATTTACAAAGTTTCCCCTTACAGGGCCAGGTGCTGTGGTTATTGAGATGTATAAAACAAGCTTCAAGGAGTTACCATCTAATGACAGAGACCTAGCAACAGACAGTGGCACTAGACTATGAAAAGCTATTTAAAAAAAAAAAAAAAAAAAAAAAGGTGCTACGGAAGCTCTAGGTAGGGTGAATCATATCTGTCAGAAAAGCAAGGTTTCAGGCCAGGTGCGGTGTCTCTTGCCTGTAATCCCAGCACTTTGGGAGGCCGAGGTGGGTGGATCACCTGAGTTCAAGAATTTGAGACCAGCCTGGACAACATGGTGAAACCCCGTCTCTACTAAAATACAAACATTAGCTGGGTGTGGTGGCAAATGCCTGTAATCCCAGCTACTCAGGAGGCTGAGGCAGGAGAACCCCTTGAACCCAGGAGGTAGAGGTTGCAGCAAGCTGAGATCACGCCATTACATTTCAGCCTGAGTGACAGAGCTAGACTCTGTCTCAAAAAAAAAAAAAAGAAAGAAAGAAAAAAAAAGAAAAGCAAGGTTTCAGCTGGGCACAGTGGCTCATTCCTGTAATCCTAACTCTTTGGGAGACCAAGCTTGGAGGATCACTTGAGCCCAGGAGTTCAAGACCAGCCTGGGCAACACAGTGAGATCCCCATCTCTACAAAAATAAACAACAAAAAAAAGTTATCTGGGTGTGGTGGTGCATGCCTGTAGTCCCAGCGACTTGGGAGGCTGAGGTGAGAGGATTGCTTGATCCTAAGAGATCAAGGGTACAGTGAGCTATGATCAAACCACTACACTCCAGCCAGGGTGACAAGTGAGACCCTATCTCAAAATAATGAACTTTCCGGCTAGGTGTGATGGCTCATGCTTGTAACCCCAGCACTTTGGGAGGTCAAGGCAGGTGGATCACCTGAGGTCAGGAGTTTGAGGCCAGCCTGGCCAACATGGTGAAACACCATCTCTACTAAAAACACAAAATTAGCTGGGTATGGTGGCGGGTGCCTGTAATCCCAGCTACTTGGGTGGCTGAAGCAGGAGAATCACTGGAACCCAGGAGATGGAGGTTGCAGTGAGCAGAGGTCACGCCACTGCATATGGGGCTGCGAGGGGGAGGCACATGGCAAAATATTTGAGCTTATGTACATGACATCTGAGGTCAGGGTATGGAAAAATACTGATGCAGTGTTATGTTTTTGTTTTGTTTTGTTTTTTGAGACGGAGTTTTGCTCTTGTTACCCAGGCTGGAGTGCAATGGCACGATCTCGTCTCATCGCAACACCCACCTCCTGGGTTCAGGCAATTCTCCTGCCTCAGCTTCCTGAGTAGCTGCAATTACAGGCACGCACCACCACGCCCAGCTAATTTTTTGTATTTTTAGTAGAGACGGAGTTTCATCATGTTGACCAGGATGGTCTCGATCTCTTGACCTCATAATCCACCCACCTCGGCCTCCCAAAGTGCTGGGATTACAGGCTTGAGCCACCGCACCTGGCAGTGGTATGTTATTTGTACATGGGAATGAAGCTCCTTGACCCTGAAAACAGGACAGGAAGTAGAGTGTGTGGTGTAATAAGAAACACTGAAAACAGCCTCCTGAGAGTGCAGTTTGAGTGTGTACAAGGTCATAGGTGTCTCAGTAACCCACCTCAAATGACCATCTAGTGGATGTTTGTAGTTCATACGAGCCCTTTCAATAAATACTTGGTGGATGGACGCTGGGGCAGACTCTCAGAAGAGCTACCCTCCAGCCCTGCTCAGCTGGAACTGTCCCAGTACTTCATTCTCAGCATTCACTGCAAGCTATAAGCTCTGCAACTGGTGCCCCCAACGTGATCACCTAGAATTTACACATGAAGGTGAAAAGCTCATCAGTTTTTTGGGAATCATGGTAGGAATTCCTCCCATCAGGAGGATGGGACACACACATAAGATATCAGGGGCTAGGTTATCATGGGTCCAGAAATAACCAAAGAGCAGAAAGTACTTTTTAAAACAGTGCAACAGCTCCTTAAGGCTGTCCTGTGCATTGTAGAGCCTGGAGCTCTACACAAGCTTATGCTCTTAATTCAGCAGGAATGCCCTTGGTTTCCTCATCAAGAAACCTTAGATTTCGAGTTATGGGAGCAGGTAGGTCCCTGCCTGAAAAGAGAATATGAGCAAGGTCATTTTACTAATGTTACCATTTTGACCACTTGGGCGCTGGTATACTCTGCGTTGTATCCTCTTTATTCGCCACATTGCAGTGAATCAGACCACCCATCTTCTCCACCTGGAGGAAATTCAGGAGATTTAAAGGAGAAGTAAAAGCAGGAACCAGAATAACAAGGAGACCCCTCTCCCTCCTTCATTCCCTTCTATGGGGAATAAGGAAGGGATTTTTTTCTAGTGAGGAAAAGGACAGACTGGACCCTTTTCTTTCCTATAAAAGAGCTATTGCCTTCTTTTCTTCCACCCTTAAAAGGACCTACATTCATTGGCCCTGTTCAGGCAACAGGGCCTCCCATCCCACTTGAGGAGATTGGAGGCTGCCCAAGGAACAGTTCTTGGATAAGACCCCGCCCCCGTCCCCCCGTCAGCGAACATCTATATGATCGTGTGGCCACGTCTCTTTCACAAACTTCCCTGCTGGAGGGGTGCCTTCTCACCTCCTTTCTTGCCTTGTCTTTTATCTGTTTCCCTGGAGTATAAGGGAAAGTTGCATGCTGCATCCTGGGTTTTCTACCAGAAAGCTCTGGATTTCTTGCTGCTCACAGAGGCTCAAGTTGCTAAGATGCCATGGAGTGCATTTAGTCACTGGCAGTCTGGGCAAGTTGCCCCTTTCAGTGTTTGTGAAGGAGGGGAGGCCAAGAGGTACAGACCAAGTCCCCGGATGGCTGCAGGCAGCTCCAGCCTGGTCCTAAGAATCCTCCTCACCAGGTCACCTGCCTTAGTAACTGTGCCCAGAAAGTGGCCTGCTGCTTGCTGTGCTGCCGCTTTTCCTACTTCTGCTCATCCCTGCCACTCCCCGCATATCTCGGCTGCCAAGCAATTCCTTGTCTTCCCTGGCCCTTAGGGAAAGGGCTAAGAAACAGTCCATGTGCACCCCGACCTTATTAGCCTAGGGTGAGCAGAAGGGTGTGGAGCAGCCTAGAGTACAGAGCTCCAGGGGAAAAGCCTGCTAATGAGGGCGCTCTCCTGTAGCCATATGTTAAATGCTAACTAGGCTGAAGTGGACGAGCCCTGCCAGCTGCTGTCACCTTCAGAAGATAGACGCAGTGGTAAGGAATGCTTGTTTCATTTTTTTATAAAATCTTTAAAAACACTGTGGCTGGGAAATTTCGAAGCAGACCCTGCTGCATGTCTGCTCCTCCCCTGAGCCTCTCTGCTTGGGGGTAGTAAAAATAATAAAAAGCCCAGTATGGTTTCAGTACCTTACCTAACAGGGTTGGCTCCGAGCATAGGTGGCCTGGAGGATGAGGGAAGTGATCTTCTCCCAACCTGTTACCCTCTTGCCGCCAGTCTCCACGCTTGTATACACGCACTTTCCCACCTGGTCATTTTCTGGCCTCTTGCTGCCACGTGCAGTCTCCCTTCCTTCCTCTCAGGGTAAGGGCAGCCACAGGCGGCAGGCTATTAAAATAAAAGGCTGCCTAAGGAGCCTGGCGTAGATGGGAAGAAATTGGCCACAGCCTTGCTTTCCCAAGCTCATTTCTAAAACATTCCAGCTAAAGGCTAATGCAGGAGACTGGCCAGCACCTAAGGACATTTTTAAAAGTTTTTTGGATTTTTTTTCTCTTTTCTTTTACACACTTAAGCTAGCTCAACGCAGCTTTATTATCCTGGTGACTTGCAGTCACATTCTAATGACTTTCTAAGGCCAGAAAATATGGTAAAAATTGCCTAGAATAAGGCCAGGCGCGGTGGCTCAAGCCTGTAATCCCAGCACTTTGGGAGGCCGAGGCAGGTGGATCACGAGGTCAAGAGATCAAGACCATCCTGGTCAACATGGTGAAACCCCGTCTCTACTAAAAATACAAAAAATTAGCTGGGCATGGGGGCGCACGCCTGTAATCCCAGCTGCTCAGGAGGCTGAGGCAGGAGAATTGCCTGAACCCAGGAGTCAGAGGTTGCGGTGAGCCGAGATCACGCCATTGCACTCCAGCCTGGGTAACAAGAGCGAAACTCCGTCTCAAAAAAAAAAAAAAAATTGCCTAGAATATTCATCCCTTTCACACCTTAGTTTAACAGGCTTTATCTTTGCCATTTCTATATTTTATGTGTTATGCACTGTCTCAGAATCCCTCTAAACATATACAAAAGACCACAAATGTAATAACTTGTCTTCTCATAAAGTAGGGTGCTGACGTTGCGTCCAGCTGTCAGAATATGACCCTGCTACTCTTTTCCTACCATTATGCAAGGAACAGTTTCATACTCTTAGCTTGTGATCTTGATTGGCAAGTAGCAATGGCTGACTCTATTGGTAATATCAGCTTCTATTTACCAGCCTCTAAGCTTCTAAACTTTTTACAAACTGCGCCTGTTAAATTTGTGTCTATTGTTGTCTCTGAGCTCTTGTTTCATGCCACTACTGTCTTTACAACTGTTCAAAAAAAAAAACAAGGAAGAACAGCTATAGGGTGGCAAGATGCCATGCAAACTGGCAACACAAAATCCAGGAAGATTTTAAAACTACACAACAGGTGGAGTTAGGTGCCCTAATACTGGCTTTACAAACTTTTCCTCACCAAGACATAAACATAGGGATTTTGCTTATGCAGTGTATGGCATTACTCATTTAGATCTTGCACATGTGAAAGACATTACTAATGCATCTCTACCAGCTTTGTTTCTTACAGCGCAAGAGCTCCTCTGTGCCCGTCATCACCATCTTTATATCACCCACATTTGCTCGCATTCTAGGTTACCTGGTCCCTTGTCAGAAGGAAGAGCTTGAGCTGATGCTCTGGTACAACCGCAAATGTGACTTGCAGACTTTCCTGCATTTTTTTGAGCTCAAGCTGATCATGCTTTTTTTCATCAGAATGCTCAAAGTCTTAACAGTTTCATTTAACACTGGCTCAAGCTCGAATAATTTTTAAAACTTGTCCTGATTGCCAACGGCATTCTGTCCTTTTTCCTTAAGGCTTGATACCAACCCACAAGGTCTGGTGCCTAATGCTATCAGGCAAAGCGATGTTACTCAGTAATCCATCTCAAATGACCATCTAGTGGATGTTTGTAGTTAACACAAGCCCTTTCAATAAATACTTGGTGGACGGATGCTGGGGTGGACTCTCTCGGAAAAGCTACCTCAGCCCCACTCAGCTGGAACTATCGGAGTACTTTGTTCTTGCTATTCACTGCAAGCTATAAGCTCTGCACTGCACTCCAGCCTGGGTGACAGAGCGAGACTCCGTCTCAAAACACAAAAAACACAAATGAAGTTTCTCCTAGAATTCCTGCAGTTTCACACATGGACTACAACTTGCTGGACCAGTGTCAGAGGCCAAGGCAGCTCTAGGGCCTGCCCCTCCATCTCTCTGTCTCTGCTGCTCTGTTTGCTCTGTGCTCCTCTCACTTTCTCAGCACTGCCCATTCCCTCTACTTTGCATTTCCCCTTTCTTTCTTTTCTTTTTTTTTTTTTTTTTTGAGATGGAGTCTTGCTGAGACTACAGGCGCCTGCCACCACACTCAGCTAATTTTGAAATTTTATTTATTTATTTATTTATTTATTTATTTAGAGGCAGAGTCTCACTGTCACCAGGCTAGAAAGCAGAGGCATGATCTTGGCTCACTGCAACCTCTGCCTCCCAGGTTCAAATGATTCTCCTGCCTCAGCCTCCTGAGTAGCTGGTGCTACAGGTGCCCACCAACACACCCAGCTGATTTTTGTATATTTAGCAGAGATGGGGTTTCTCCATGTTGGCCAGGCTGGTCTAGAACTCCTAACCTTGTGATCCACCCACCTCGGCCTCCCAAAGTGCTGGGATTATAGGCATGAGCTACCACACCCAGCCCGGCCCAGCCTGTCCCCTTTCTACTGTGTAGTTTCTGTTTTCTCATCACTTGTGTGTCTTTTCACCATGGTCTTGGCCCCAGACCAACTTACTGACCTCTCTGCAGAGGCAGCCAATGCACTTTTGCTCTGGTTGCTACTGCCTGATGCTAGGAAAGCTTGGGGTGCATACACGGAGAAAAGGTTATGGGGTTGGCCTCAGACTGTCCTGTTTAGGATGGATGGTGGGTGTAGCAGGCCCTATGATACCACATGTCCAGTGCCTTTCACCCTCTCCCAACCCAGCCCACTTCCTAAATGTTTAGCTCCCAAAACAGCCCGTCATGATCCCATTTTCACTGCCAGAACTGAAACATATATAAATATATGAAATATAGATAAATCGGGCCAGGCATGGTGGCTCACACCTGTAATCCCAGCACTTTGGGAGGCCAAGGCAGGTGGATCATGAAGTCAAGAGATCAGGACCATCCTGGCCAACATGGTGAAACCCCGTCTCTACTAAAAATACAAAAATTAGCGGGGCATGGTGGCATGTGCCTATAGTCCCAGCTACTTGGAAGGCTGAGGCAGGAGAATGCTTGAACCCAAGAGGCAGAGGTTGAAGTGAGGAGAGATCCTGCTGCTGTACTCCAGGCTGGTGACAGAGCAAGACTCAGTCTCAAAAAAGAAAGAAAGAAAATATATAGATGAATCAATACAGTTGATATAAATCCACTCTATACTCTCTAGCAGGACTGAAACTTGAAATCTTGCTTCTGAAAGTGATTATGAGGGAAAAAATATAATAATCTGATCAAAAAGAGGGCAGAAGGCCGGGCGAGGTGGCTCACGCCTGTAATCCCAGCACTTTGGGAGGCCAAGGCGGGTGGATCACGAGGTCAAGAGATCGAGACCATCCTGGTCAACATGGTGAAACCCCGCCTCTACTAAAACTACAAAAATTGGCTGGGCATAGTGGTGCATGCCTGTAATCCCAGCTACTCAGGAGGCTGAGGCAGGAGAATTGCCTAAACCCAGGAGGGGGAGGTTGCGGTGAGCCAAGATTGCGCCATTGCACTCCAGCCTGGGTAACAAGAGCGAAACTCCGTCTCAAAAAAAAAAAAGAGGCAGAAGATTTGAATAGACATTTCTCAAAAGAAGACATACAAATGGCAAACAGGTGTAAGAAAATGTGCTCAGCATCATTGGTCACCAGAGAAATGCAAATCAAAAGTACAATGAGATAGATATCATCTCATCCTAGTAAAAATGGCTTATATCCAAAAGACAGGCAATAAATGCTTGTGAGGATGTGGAGAAAAGGGAAGCTCACACACTGTTGGTGGAAATGTAAATTAACACAGCCACTATGGAGAACGGGCTGGAGGTTCCTCAAAAAAAACTAAAAATTGAGCTACCAAGGATCCAGCAATCCTACTGCTGGGTACATGCCCCAACAGAAGGGAAATCAGGCTGGCCATGGTGGCTCATGCCTGTAATTCCAGCACTTTGGGAGGCTGAGGCAGGTGGATCACCTGAAGTCAGGAGTTTGAGACCAGCCTGGCCAACATGACAAAAACCCATCTATACAAAATTAGCCAGGTGTGGTGGCACATGCCTGTAATCCCAGCTACTTGGGAGTCTGAGGCAAGAGAATCGCTTGAACCTGAGAGGTTGAGGTTGCAGTGAGCTGAGAGAGCTCTATTGCATTCCAGCCAGGGCAATGAGAGTGAAACTCCATCTCAAAAAAAAAGAAAAAAGAAAAGAAGGGAAATCAGTATATTGAAGAGGTAACTGCACTCCTCTGTTTGTTGCAGCACTAGAACTAGCTGAGAACTAGCAGCACTACAATCACTAAGATTTGGAAGCAACCTAAGTGTTCATCAACAGATGAATGGACAGGCAGGGTGCAGTGCCTCAGGCCTATAATGCCAGCACTTTGGGAGGCCAAGGCAGGAGGATTGCTTGAGCCTGGGAGTTCAAGACCAGCCTGGGCAATATAGTGAGATCCCATCTCTTAATAAATAAATAAAATTTAAAAAAAAAAAACAGATAAATGGTAAGCCAAGATCACTCCACTGCACCCTAGCCTGGGAAATGAGCAAAAATTCCATCAAAAACAAAACAAAACAGAAAAACAGATGAATGAATAAAGAAAATGTGGTACATATACACAATGGTATACTATTTAGCCCTAAAAAAAGATGAGATCTGGCTGGGCACGGTGGCTCAGCATGTAATCCTGCACTTTGGGACACTGAGGCAGGCGTAT